ATCAGTATGTGTGTGTGTCTATCTCCTTATGCATGTGTGTGTTTGTATGTATGTTAGTATGTGTCTTTGTGTCTGTATATGTGTGTGTCTGTTTCCATATGTGTGTGTGTTAGTATGTGTGTATCTTTCTGTGTGTGTGTCTGTGTCCTTTTGTATCAGTGCCTTTGTCTGTGTGTGTATTCCTGTGGGCGAGATTTGAAAGTGGACCCTGGGGGTGGGCTTGGAGGCGGGCACCCGGGAGCCCAGACCTTGAGCTGTGTTAGGGGCCCCAAAATTTCTGATGGCGGCCGTGACCACTACTGTGCGTGTCCCTTTAATCACTAAAGGCATCATGATGAATAATATTAATTATAATATAGTTGGCTCTCAACACCAAAAATGTACTTGAAGGATCAATGTGGAGTAGAAGCTCAGACTGAAATCTATTAAGATACTTTAATAGAAGATACAGGTGTTGTGGCTTTAAGACAATACAGACACATTTTCGTGTTCCGTCTCCACAGTCTCAAACTCCTATCTATAAAGGACCAGGTCTAAATAATATGTGAATACCAAAGGTATGTAAGGATGCTTCTATAATATGCAATAGAATAGACTGACATGAGTATTGTTCTTCCTTACGACCAAGGACCAAGGTGAGTTCCAATGATATGCTCTTGTAGGAGGTTACTAGATGAATGGATTGTCTCTAAAAAAAATGGTAAGATGGGAAAATGTATGATAGAATGACCAATGTATGTGAGTCAATAGGTTAGTTAGGGGTTGTCAGTTTTCGTCATAAATTTCAGAATTAATTCTCTTCGTTCCACATTTATGCTTCTCTGACAAGGTTTTTGACAATGGATTTTGTACCTGTTGCCATTCTATTTTGCACAAATTCCCTCCCCATTTTCTCTTTTTTTTTTTTACGTCTCATAATGTAATTGTGCAAGGCACTGATACTAGTATAAATCCATACATACTAGCCACACATATTAATAATGCACTGACTCTCAAAATAATGGTAGCCAAAAGAAAATTTGGGCACAACAGTATTTAAACTCACTAAACCAGTAATTGTGGAGAATTGACAAGGGATTTTCAGATCGTAGGCCAGAATAGGCAAATTGAAAAACATAATCTGAGATTTGGCCTCTCCCTTGTTAATGTAAACTGGTTTGAGCAGGGTCCTCATCAACCTATTGTTCCTGTTCTTTTATTAAATCATTTATTGTTACATTTTCCACTTTAATAATATTGTAAAGCGCTGCGGAACAAGATAGCTCTATATAAGTACCAAATAATAATAATAATCATTTTCTACAATTCTCTGAATAACCCCAAGGATTATCACCCCAATACTTCATTAACATTTCTCATATCTCGTTTTTGTGGCAAAGCATTGGCCATCAAACCTATATTCCATTATATTATAGTAGATTTTTTCCTACATATATATTTATATTTTTGCAGTCAGCCCATATTCCTTTACAGGTGTAGTCATGTACCCACTGCAGAGCATTTACCATCCTGGCACTGCCCATCACATAATATTGTGCAGTCATTATGAATGTGACTCCTCCATAACATCTTCCTGTGCAGGGTGTCTCCCAGCTCTCCCATCCAGAAAGGTGAGGCTGGGCGTGCTGTGAGCGGAGCCTGTCCCTGTCCAGGTGCTGAGTGCTGCACCCAGGCACCTCCCTTCAATCCCGGTCATGCTGGATGGCTGGCTCCGCCCGGTGACGTCAGCAGTGGCTGTTCTCCTGAACTGGGCGGTGAGGGTGAGCTGAAGCTGCTGGAGCAGGACTCAGGGGGGTCAGAAAGAGAGACAGGGAGATAGACTCATCTGGGTGTCCCCGGCCGGTGAAGCGCTGCAGGAGGTGCTCAGGGTGGGTGAGTGAGACATCCTGTGCGTTGGAAAGCCGGCATGATCCCTGCCTGTGGATACATTGCTAATCTTTGCCATCACTTAGTTCAGGAATCTCTGCCTGTCTGTCACAGGCCTTCCCTCTGCCTGTATGGAGTCCTCATCCTATGTGCTGCCTCTGGCACCAATGTTTACTTTCCATGTATTGTTTGTGTCCTGCACAGCCCCTCTCCCTCCCAGCCTTTATCCTGGATCTCCCTTTCATTCCATTCAGAAAGTTTGCCCTATTGAACCAACTCTCCAGTCTTGTTTCTGTTGTGTCACACTGCTCCCCTGTCACTAAAGCAGCTGAGAACAGTATTTATTATGCAGAATACATTTTGTTTTTTCACTTTTTCTGGGATCCTGTCTGTAGATTTCACTATGTTAGGGGGTTGTTTCATTTGGAATTTTAAATTGACACAAAGTTTCCAGTAGTTAGCTAGACACGGCATAGAACCTTGCTCACTGCTTTCTCTGTGTTTTTATAAATAATGCCTGTTGTATGAGGATATAATGTGAAAATACTCTCATTATAGTGTATGTATTATGTAGTGAGCTGTTGAAGCAGAATATAATATTTAATCTATAATCCATGACATTTTTCTTTTTTTTATTGAGGGTTGTTTAATTGCTTTTTACTAGGTGACTGGTAAAAATTTAACTTTGTGTCAGTTATATAATCCTGTTCAATCTATAACGTGTATATATGTGTGTGTGTGTGTGTGTGTGTGTGTGTGTGTGTGTGTGTATATATATATATATATATATATATATATATATATTTATAGTAAAGTCCTAGTGATAATTTCTTATCACAATCACAATCTCATGCATTTCCTTTGGAATTACAATAAGGCCATAAATGTGGCCTGTATGTAAAGCTGACCGATTTCAGAGTACAAGGGTGACATTCGATGTAAGTCACTCTACATCTGTGTACTAATTAACAGACTTCCAGACTAATCTTACTCAAGAGAAACTTCCTTCACAAATATCCACTCAACATAAGTCCATAGATCAACTGGCTCATGCAGTTTATCACCACCATGAAAAAGCATGGTTGAGGTTTAGATTTCTAGAATAGTTTGTGGATCAGCAAAGTTAACTTTTTAGTTCACAAGTTATTGTTTAACTACAATTCCTATAGAGCGCCATTAGTTTCGCTATTTAAATTTTTTTTTTATTTTTTTTTACGGTGATCACTGAGCATCATGAGACTTGTAGTTCCATCATGGTTCCAGAGCCAATTGCTTATTATCTTAGCTATCTGACTGTTTGATTCATATAAAACCTCAGCAATGTTATTAAAAACAATAGCCAAGCTTTCTGAAAACCATATTTTATTTGTGATATCTGCTGGCCTGTATGATTTATTTTTATTTATTTTTTTTATATTTATTTCACTTATCGTGCTTACTTGGCCTTCTAAAGTCAGTCGTTTTGTTTTCATTTATTTTCTACTCTAACAAAATATAGTTCAGTTTTTTTGTGTGCAAAAAGGCAATTAGCCCCCTTTTTTCCTTCCTTTTTTTTGGTTGACACAAACCTATGACATTGTAGCTGTTTGTGGAAAGTTGTATTTTCATCTTTATGGAAGCCATCAGTCTTATGGTTCATTATAATTCACAAAAATGACCATACTTGATACGAGATCATACTTAGTGCTGTGAAATGTGTTATATATTATGTCTAACTCCTTTATTGTGTCGAGGATCAGAAGGACGAACTCTGTAGCTCTTTTTGCTAAATATTGAACACTGTAACTAACGCATTTCAGTTTACCCAAAACTTTAAAAATGTATTTAGTGTTAGAATTGTCTAAATTTAAATTGATATTTCTAGATTTATGTAACATAGAACTCTATATTCTTAGTAGTACAAGCTCTATATAGAGCTCACTTTGTGTATATACTATAACGTTACACTACTTGTCTGACTTTACGTTGACGAAAGATCTGAATTGCAGTGTATTGATAACTGAATTGGGAAAAATTCAGCTAGATTAGCTAAGCTGTTTCTATAGCCGAGTTTTCTTTTCCAAATCTGCTGGTTTTACCCAAATTTTGCAATTTGGTTTTTAAAATTTACTCCAGTTTGGTGTTTAGTGAATATATTCTAGAAATGTGTTCAAATTAAGAAATACTGGATTTTCTGGTCTGTGTACATAGATTACCACAACAAAAGGAACCAGAAAGTGCACATAATATAATAGTATATTGTATTATGGGATGTCTTGTTCATCTTTAATAAGCTACATAAAACCTGTCATGCCAAACTATGCATTTTTAGATTGTACTTTAATTGATGGTTAAGTAGAATCAAAGCACTACTTCTTTCTAAAGAAAAAAAATCACAGAAAAAAAGTTTGATCTTTTTAAAAAGTTTTTTTTATTTTTTTTGTTGTTAACCGTTGTTTAGAATGCTATATCCATAGTATACTATTTTTTATAGGATACGATTTTATCCACAGCACCCCAATTCACAGCAATGTTTAAGGGTTGCTTTGAGCGAGACTGAATGATTTATCCTTGAGATGCATCACTTTGCCTATTAGAGGAAGAAAACTAGTTCCCAAGTGGGATCTAGAATGTGTGTAAAGGGACAACAAAGGGGGTAACCCTCAAATTGTATGTAAGTAGAGCCCAATAAAAGCTCATTTTTAGTACATACAGATTTATAGGGACTTCCTTTTTGTCCTCTAGGCTTTTGCCTTTAGGCTATCTGTTCTCTATTTTGTCTATTAGGCCTATTTGGGGCTTTTTTGAATATACTTCATACAGTAAAACAGGAACAAAACAAGAAAACAAAACGTATTCTGAATTAATAACTTATATTGTTGGGAGTTCCCTTTTAAACAGCAATAGAGTGGTTGTTTACAGTAGCTTTGTTTTGTGTAATTGCTGGGAAAAAAATACAAATAATATTTCTAAATATAAAGCCTCAGCTACAGAGAAACCTTACTTTCCTCTAAGCAAAACAAAGCATGATAAGGAGAATTATAAATAGAATGGTTTTCTTCCTTAAAGGGACAATGTAGGCACTGTAACCACTTCACCTCATTGGAGTGGTTAGAGTGCCTAATGTTCTCACGTTCATTGTTAAACTATTTTCAAATAGAGAGAATCTGTCCCAAATTAATTGTAAGAGAAACATTTAAAAATCGATGACATAGATTTTATTGTATATTAAAATATATCTCATCGATTTTTGAAATTTTTATATTACGATTAATTTGGGACAGATTCTCTCTCTTTTTGCCATTAACTCACCTTAGGGTTACCCCCTTATCTGATCCCACTCCACCGTATTTGAATTATTGTTGGCCACTTCAAAACTATTTTCAAATAGTTTAATGCTAATCGAGGGTCCATAGCTGCCCATGGTAAGGTGCCCACTAAAGGTATGGCTAAGGGAGAGATTGCACTCCATATTTGTTTAAACCAGCAGTGGGAAGCTGTGATAGGCTTTAGCTAATAACTTGTGTACATTTCTGCTCTGGCTAATGCAGGCTGGGCAGCTAGAGGCTGGGGAACTCGTTTAGTTATAAACCATTTGAAAATTATTTTGACATGGAGGTATGTCGCAGTGAGATTAAGTGGTTATAGTGCTTTTAGCATCCTTTAAAGTGAACTTATTAGTTAAAACCTAACATTATTGACATATCATGTGTCTATAACTTAACAAAAAAATGTATACTGATCACCTGTATCTATGCAGAACAGGTTGTTCCCATTAGAGACTTTGCTTGATTGCAAAACTTATAATGAACCAGATGTGCTTAAAGGGTTACTCCAGGCTCCATGACCACTTCTGCTTGGAGCAAAGAATCTGTATTTACAGCATTGCAGCTTGAGATACCACTCAGGGATATTTGCACTTTTGTGCTGGGACCAAGTTGCTACGCTGGCACAAGTGACGTAGGAAGCACAGAACTCGGGTTGGCTAATGTTACCCTTCTGTGCAAAAAATGACGTCTCTCGTCAGCATGCACAGTGCGCTGGCAATAGACGTATTTAGCCTATATTCTTGCAGGTGGCGCTGTGAGCCCCTCCCATGCTTGTTCACATAATATAATAGTATTCTATATTATGGGATGTCTTGTTAATCTTAAATAAGCCTACATTATCTACATGAAACATTCCATACTATCCATTTTTAGATTTTACTTTAATTGAGGTTTAAATAGAATCAAAGCACTACTTCTTGCAAAGGGATGACATTAAGACAATTCAGTGCAATCATGGGCTCTGAGCCTGGAGATAGGTCCAATTATATGGATAAACATACTAGTGCCAATAGGGGGTTAGAGATTAAATAAAATATAACAGTTAAAAAAAAAAAAAAGCCTTGAGTAACACTTTAATATACATAATCAGTACAGTGAATGCCCCAAAAAATGGCATTGTCATTGTGCAGAAAACCATACTGTTACAATTAGTGAGCTAGAAATGTCTATTTTGGATACTTTGATTACAAATCCTATTTTTTTATATTTTTTTTGTCTTGACTATTTTAGCCTACAATTAGCAATTTCACTTTCCATTTCTTACTAGTTTGTAAATAAACGCAGTATTTCTTTAAAAAAACGAAAAAATATTGATTGGTATTTAAGAAAACTCAAACACATGATATTATCTATAACTGTTGGTAAACAATTTGAAACCAAACAAAATGTTGTAAGATTGAGAAAAAAATGCTTCTGATTCCTTATTTGCAAGAGGGAAAATAACCTATATTTAATATTCCCATCCTAATGTCATGCTTCCTGTTCCATGCTAGACTCATCCCTAGGGTTATTGGAATGTTTATTTTTTTTCCTTTCCTGTATTTCCTGTATGGAGTTCATTTGTAGCTGTCCAGCTGTTAAACAAACACAACATCTAAAATAAAAGACACCATTTAAAACAGTTCAAAGGCCCCTCTCAGTAAGTGGATTTCTTGCATCTCAAATTTGGTTATTTGGAATTAATTTGTATCTAAATATTTGTTTCTCTGTGTTGGATTTTATTGCTATTTTATTTTATAGCAATAAAATTTTATTTTTTGACCATAGTCTTCCTTGTAATTTTTTACGTAAGTCTAAAAATGCGTAGCCTTGGAATTTTGGATGGCTGTGGATGGGGGACACTGCAGAACAGAAATGTTGGAACATCTCTGCTACTCTTTTGTAAAGGATTACATAATTGTTTTATGAATGCAGGGAACGATGGATACAGAACTTAATGATGCATCTTTTCATGTCTAGTGGAAAGGAAAATTAAATTGTTGGCAGTGTTTACATAATAAAATTATATTTTAAAAAAAGAAAACCAATTCCTTGTATAGCTTGTTCTCACAAAAGGCAGAAATTAGAGGTACAAGTAAAAATATTTTATTAATAACAGTGGCCAGAAAATGCCCTAGGAGTTGTTTAATTTTTTTTTTAAATGATACTTTTCTTCCCTCTATAAAATAAATCAAGCAGTAATGAGTTCAAGAGCTGTTCTGTGTTTCCATGAGCAATGTTGTGGTCAGGGTCATATTTCTCACTAGGTAATGTAGCATTAAGGGAGCACCTGGTTGCCAGCTGTCTTCTTTAAAATTTAAACAAGATTACATTGACTTGCAGGCATTGTGTAGATTTGCATATACTCACAGAATTGAAATCTGCTTCTCTCTATTCAGTTTAATGGAAGTTCTGTTGCACAGTCATATTTCCACCTAAACACTACGACTATTGGGAAATGTAATAAATGTACCCTCTGTCTAAATAAAACCCACTCCTACTTTTGCAACATTCACTGCAGCATGTCTCTTTCTGCTTCTCAGCATGTCTCTTTCTGCTCTAGTTAAGAGAGCCATTAAGTTGCTTATTTATCCGCACTCCTGATACTGCAAGCGTTTGCTCTACAATGTGGTGTGGGAATCTTGGGATTTGTAGTTTAACAAACGTTTGGAACTACATGTTCATAATCCCAGTCTAGGCCCAGTACCCAATGGATGATGCATTTTAAATTCATTCATACACAGGATTTTTCACTAAAGTGAGAATTCAAAGTGAATTTTAAATTTATGGTCAAAGTAGCCAAATTGAAAAAATTCTCTAATTCAGCTATGCTTTCAGTTCGACTGCTCTGGCCTTAAATTTGAAATTCACTTTGAATCCTCAATTTAGTAAATAACCGTGTCAGTTAATACCATTTCCCCCCGAAAATAAGACCAAGCATGTGCAAGAAAGCAGATCTACGTTTGAGGAAATTCACCCGAACATAGACCAGTTTACTAGGGCATGGAATCCCATGAATCTACGTTCGAGGAAAATTCCTGAAACATCGATTAGTGAACTAGCGACTAGGGCTTATTTTTGGGGTAGGGCTCATATTACGAGCATTCACCGAAAATAAACTAGGGCTTATTTTTGGGAGATGTCTTCTTTTCTGGGGAAATGGTAATTATAAAATTACAACAAGGTGACTTCTTGGTAGGATAGAACATCATAGTTTCATCAGAATTATGTAATAGATTTTATAAACTAGCTAATGCATACCCATCCCAAGATTTAAAAAAATCTACACTAGATGCAACCATGACTGCGCAAGTTTTAGCAGTGTGACAATTTAAGGACCAAAGATATTCCACTGTCAATTTTCTCTTTTGTAGTTACATGTTTCACTGGGATGAAGAGTTGTGAATAAGAGGTTAAAGGACCACTATAGTGCCAGGAAAACATACTCGTTTTCCTGGCACTATAGTGCCCTGAGGGTGCCCCCACCCTCAGGGTCCCCCTCCCGCCCGGCTCTGGAAAGGGGCAAGGGGTTTAAACTTACCTTTTTCCAGCGCTGGGCGTGAAGCTCTCCTCCTTCTCTCCTCCTCCGTTCCTCCTGCTGGGCTGAATGCGCACAAGCGGCAAGAGCTGCGCGCGCATTCAGCCCGTCGCATAGGAAAGCATTCATAATGCTTTCCTATGGACGCTTGCGTGCTCTCACTGTGAAAATCACAGTGAGAAGCACGCAAGCGCCTCTAGTGGCTGTCAATGAGACAGCCACTAGAGGATTAGGGGAAAGGCTTAACCCATTCATAAACATAGCAGTTTCTCTGAAACTGCTATGTTTATAAAAAAATGGGTTAACCCTAGAAGGACCTGGCACCCAGACCACTTCATTAAGCTGAAGTGGTCTGGGTGCCAAGAGTGGTCCTTTAAGCTGCAATTCTCACGATCCCTAGTCAGACTTTGGGAGAGAAATATGGTAAAATACACAACGCTAGTTGTCGGCTACTCCTAATCTGCTGACCTCTGTAGAATTCAAACATAAAAAACATTATTTTAAAATATTAATAGGATAATAAACAAACTGATTCCTGGTCATATTTGGCCAACTACTTAACGTGCACAGGTGGTCCCATGCTGTTGTAGTCACTACAAAAGAATGCCACACTATACCAAGAAAACAAAGAACTGAAATACGTGTCATCTGAAACACAATCCAGCAGCTTGTCTGTCCTTTGAGAAGTTTGTATCAGGTTTTTGGATGATGTTTAGACACTGGAGGCGCATTTGATCATTTCTTCTGTTCTATTTAAGCTGTACTTGGGAAAAAGAAGATAAGTGTTTAGCGCTAGCAACAAAAAAAAAATCTATTATTTTAATTGCTTAATTTTAGTGTCTAGAAGACAGATATCAATTTAGTCTCAGGATTTCCACTAAGTGTCCACCCCAGATTTAGTTTTACACAGCAGGAATAGTGTACCGAGATGCGTATCTGGAGCCTGTTTATCCAAAACTAACAGCCAGGAAAAACTGAATCTAATTAATTTGGAGAGCTTCTTCAACAAAGAATTAAGGCAAGCTTAGTTTTTCAATTGTGTTTTTTGTTTTGAGAAATATGTGGCACTGCACTGTTAGTTACAGGCAGAGAGAATATGGGGGGTGGAATTGGGATTATAGCTGCAGTAATTTTTGCAAATAGCTACAGCACCCAAAAAGAATGCAGATATGTACAGGGAGGTGCCTGTAGCATAAGCTATGGAAGGAGCAGGGGTCCTTTTAAAGTTCTAAATCTGGATGTTACAAAGTAGGTATGCACATCAGAACCTCCCCACCAGTTTTCCTCTCTTGTTTAAAGGGACAATATAGTCACCAAAACAACTTTAACTTTTAGTGTATAGATCATGCATCTGAAGTTTCACTGTTCAATTCACTGCCATTTAGGAGTTAAACTACTTTTGATTTTGTTTATGCAGCCCTAGCCACACCTCCTCTGGCTGTGACTGACA